AAAAAAAAAAAGAAAAAAGGCAAAACAAAAAAAGCCATCACTTTTCCATTCTTTATAAATTTTAGTTCTGAGTTCCTTTTTCTTATCAATTATGAAAGGTATGAAGACTGTGATTTTTTTTTTAAATTATTGATGTTCTATACATAGTTTGCTACTTGTTGCTGTATTTTGTTCATGGACTACAAATGATGGAAGCTCCTGGAGCGATAGCTGCTGAGCCTGGGGCAGTGCCTGACTGTAACTGTGGGGTGGTTGTTCTTTCGGTTGTGTTTTTGGGTTGTTTTCTGTCCACATGCGCACGCACGCACACATCCCCGCGCCCCACGAGCATGTGTGTGCACACGCGAGGCTCCCTTGGCAGAGCTACAACTCCCTGCTGTTGAGTAGAGTCTGTGCCATCAGATGAGCGACTTCTCTATGCAGCACACATCAAAAGCACACTGCATAATTGAGGCGTTTGAACTTCAGGCCTTGGCTGGATGGAGCAATGTTAGTCTCGTGCCACCCTCTGGTTGTTTTCTTGCTGCTAGCATCAAACAAGCCTTGTTGACCCYGTTTTGTGCCAGTGCGTTGAGGAATTTGTAGGATGCTTTGTTGTTGTCCGGCTTGCGCGGGCTGCTCGAGAGGAGCAGAGCTGGTGGGCGCACACCTTGGCACGTGGGCAGGGTCCTTCCTCGGCCAGGCTGTGGGGAGCTCCTGGAGGGAGCGCCCGCTTCCTCCCTCCCGTGCTTGCATTGCCCACGGTTGCCCTGGTCTGGCATTCCCACCTTTCCCTCCTGTTCTTGCCTCCCTGTCCGCGGCGGAGCAGGGATTCCCCTTGGAGGCCTGGCTCGCTCCAGGCGCGTGGTCATCGCGTAGCGCCCTTGTGTTCCGCAGGGAGCAGTGGCCGCAGCCGCAGGGGCTGCTGCTGCACCTCAAAGCTRGTGCAGGTAGTTCTGGATTCCAGATGCCAAGCGAAACTCCACAGAGCGGAGGGACGGGCAGCTGTTGCACGCGGCAGCGTTTTTCCAGGAGCCCGGGCACCTGAACAGACATGCGGAAGATCCGTTGCCTGCTCAGAAGGCTGCAGGGCAAGGCGAGGAGGCAGCAGCAAACAGGGAGCTCTGCTCCATCTCCGGACGTGGGTGGATCGGCCGTCACCAAGGCCTCCGCTCCCATTCCAAGAAGTAGCATTGGGTCCAAGTTCTCGGAATCAGCCCCGTTGCCCCCTTAGAGGCTGCTACAGTAGGTAAAGACTACAGGAGCTGCCCTGTTGGAGGGGGCTGCTGATATTTTGTCTCTTTTGCAGACAGAGCACTACATCCGTGTTTTGCACAACACSTAAGAGGAAACCCTAACCCTCAGAGAGGCTTCAGGTGCTTTGACGTAGAACACTACACGCTGGGGTGGGATCCTGGTGGGCGACTGTGTGTGGAGGTCGCTGCCGGTGGCCGGAGCGGCCGAGGGAAGCGCTCCGGGAGCAGCGGGATCTGCCGGCGAGCCCGAGCCGGAGCAGCACCGCGGGACCAAGGGCTGCAGAGCCGCTCTGTGCGCTGGTGCTGAGCGGAACCTCCGCAGCGCGGCCGTGCTCGGAACTGCCTTTCATGCTGGGCAGAACGAGAGGGTTCCCCTGTGTCAGACAGCTTTGCGACAACTTCACTGCTTTGATTTTTTTTTATTTTCTTTTGGTCTTTATGCCAAACTGATCCATTTTGTAGAAATTCTCCTATAAAGAGGGATTTATAATCGTCTTGTTGTCTCCTAGAGCCGCTCCTCTGAAGCAGGGGGCGGCTGCAGTTTCCTCTGCTTTCCTGATCCTCTTGCAGACGGATCACACAACCACGGTTGCCGGTGTGGAGCATCCAGACTCTGGGAATCCCTTCCCAGGGGTTGCTTCCCGAGGTGGATGATGGTGGCACTTCCCACTTGAGTCAGAAACTTCATCCTCCCCTTCTTGGTTGAGAGCTGCTGCCCCGCACAGGAGGAGGGATGCGGGCCCCTGCGGAGCAGACCTTCCTGGTGGGATCCGCGTGCTGGGGGCACCAGGATTGAGGCACGTGCTCACAGCTGCGTGGGCGGCCTCGTGCCACCGTGGTACGGGGAGTACTGGAGAGGGAAGGGGAGCGCGTTATGGGCTGGCTCGCCCTGGAGCTGGCAAAGCCTCCTCCTAGGCTAGAGGAGGAACCAGCCTTGGATGTAATCCGGAGGTGTTTGTGGCCTGTCCAGCGTGGGAAGGCAGCGGTGTTAGCACGTGCTCTTCTCCCCAAGCAGCAGCTTGTGTGCCTCCGACTTGGCCAGTAAAGCATTTCCGTAGACCTGGTTCGCTCCCGTGGGCTGGAACCTTTGGCAAACGCCCTGGCACGAGTGCAAAGCCTTAAACCACGTTGGCCCGCGTCGCGTTTCCCGCGAGCGAGGCCCCTCGGAGCCGCGCGCAGCCTGCCGCGGGACCTTGCCCTCTGCAAGATGAAGGCGCAGGGTTCCTGCAAGGAATCCGGGCCGGAGGGAACGCTCTCCTGACCAACCGCTTGGAATTGTTCTGCTGAAGAAACCAACGTCCCAGGAACCAGTGTGAAACTTGAAGTCGGTGAGGAGAGGACCAGCCTGTTTCTTTGTACCCTTCTCTGTGAATTGGCTCCCCGGTGAGTAGCAGCCCCTTCCCGCTTCAGCCCCGGCTGCCTGTCCCCCTTCTCCTGCAGTTAGATTCCTTGGTCTCTTGTTGCTTCCTAGAAACGTTGGCCTCGCTTTCAACTATGGGTTTCTTCATGTGTTTTATTATTATTTTTTTCCTTTTTTTTTTTTGAAGTACTTCCAGAGTGTGCTGACCATTGTATTGTACTGTACAGAGCCCGGGTTGTTAGAGTCCAGCAGAGATAAAGTGTGTTATGCAGCACCCAGTTTTTAAGAGTATGGTTTGTGCCAATGCCCCTTCTTTAGTAGTGCCAGAGACTCTTTACAAGTGCCAATGTGGTGGAAATTATTTGGTTATACTTGTATATTATAGGATCCTGATTTAAGGCAATTTAAACATTAACCTATTTAAAAAGATACTATATAAAATGCTGTTTTTAAACCTTGTCATTTGCAATGCATGTATTGTTGTGTGTGTCGGGGTGGGGGGCGGGAGGCGGGGAGGGGAAAGGACTTTCTGGATAAGATGCCCAGGGCCAGGGGCGCTCGGGCTCCCAAGGGTCTCATTCCGGTGCCGGAGTGCGGCCGCGTCTTGGAACCATCCAGCTCTGACCGCTGGGCACCAGCTCTTATTACAGAAGTATCTGATGGAAATTGATTTTCATATCTTTCTCCTGAAATAAATTCTCTGTTTGAAATTGGAATAAATTTTGTTCCTAAAAACCGTAGTGGCGACGCCTGCGTTTCTTTGCTCGTGCTCCTCTTCTGCCCGTCTCTCTGGTTCAGTTCTGCTTCTCGGTCTCGGTAAATATAAGACATAATAGCGTATAGACATAGAATAATACATTATATACAGGTAATAAAATACATGAAGTGAAGGCGTTGTGCTGGGCAAACGAKAAGCCCCAGCTCGGCGTGTTCTTAACTTGGACGAGCGGCCGACGGGGTTTTAAGGGGCAGGGTGGCTCCTTGACTGAACCTGCAGGGCTCCGGGAGCGGGATTGGCGCGTGGAGCTCCTGCTCTTCCCCGCTCCCCCGCGGGGTCGGTGCCTTCGCAGGGTTTTGCCGAACGTGTGACGTGCACGGGAGGAATCTCGGTGACACCTCCGCTCCAGTCCCGCTTCCAGGTGGGTTTGCTGGAAAATGGGCAAACGCATGGAGCGGGATTTGGCTAATTCCCTGCAGGATTCCGGGGCTGATTGCCTGAGGAAGTCTCCACGAGGGCGGTTCCAGGATGGAGGTCCTGGCGCCAGGTTGGCAGCCTCCAGCTGCTGGAGTCCCCCCGTTCCAGAAGCCTGTTCCTTCTGGAGCGAAGGCGTTCAAGCAGGAATCATAGCTTGAGAAAAGCTTCATTTATCCATTTATTATTTCCTGTCTGTATAGTGTACCTGTGCGAACAAACAGAGCAGTAAGAAGTGAGCGGAACAACCCGGGATGGAAACGACACTGTAAAAACCACCACGGACCAAATSCTTCTTTGGGTGAGCAGTATCCGGTGAGCAGTATCCGCGTTGCTTCCCAGGGAACACGAGCACCCTCAGTGGTCTCTGACGGTGAGCAGAGCCCTCCCGCATCCCGTTCGAGGAGCCGCCTGTGCCCTGGGATGCTGCCCAKTCTCTGCAGCTCTCCCTTTTGCTGTGTCCCCCGTCCCGGAGCCCCTTCGACTCGACGGGCAACGCCGATCGACTTCCTGGCAGCGTTTGATTCGGAGCAGGTTCCAGGCTGCACAAAGGCTCGTGTTGGCCGCTTCCAAACGGCGGCCCCGTGCCTCGGAGCGGGATTCCGGAGGTGAGGCGCTGAAGCTGAGCTGCCTGGAGAGGGGCCCTGGGCAACACGYGCTGTTGTGAGCCCAGAGAGGGCAGTGTGGGCACGGGAAACGCCTGGTACAAATAGGTTCTAGTACAACAACAACGTTATCCTCTGCAAAAATCACTGATAACTTTGATTGCAGCTTATCTCGCTCACGTGAATGCCCTGGGGAGGCTGTAAGAATTTTTTAATTACTCCATTTGGGAAGTACTTGGTATCTCCTATTCTTTGGTCGCATTTTGTGGCTTGTGCTGCTGTAGACACTAAATGGGCTTCAGCAAGTCCCCTTGCACCGAGGGGAAGGAGAACGTTCCCTCGAAGCATTTCTTCACCAACGAATCCCCCCAGAACGSTTCAGCACAAACCGCGGGGCTGGCTGCTGCTCCGCGCAGGTTTTGGAGACCGTTTCCTTAGTCTTCCTCTAAGGATTGCTTTAATTTCTTAGCTGCAAGTGTGCTTTTCTCCATCACTAGCCCTTCCTCGGGGCTTGGGTGGGAATCGAGCTCCCCGGGCAGGTTCCCTCGTGTTTCTGTCCGCCCGGTTTCCCGCTCCGGGGTGGCTCCGGCCGCGCGGCCGGCTGCAGCGCCCAGGGCACCCAGCACCCAGCGAGGTTCSTTCTGCAGCCCCCGAGGACCCGGCTCGGGACGGAGGGTCCCTGCACGGGCACCTCTCGGCTCCCAAGCTCCGGGTGCCCCTTGCAGCAAAGGGAGGGCAGCAAGCAGCCGTGTTTACGGCACAGGAAGCTGGTGCGGGCAGGAGAGGAGTGCAGAGCTCCCCCTCCTGCCCCGCTTCGGTTCGGATATACGGGGAGCCTCCACGTCTACGCGCCGCGCTGGGCTCCAGGCAGAACCCGGTGTTGCACAGGGCAAAGCGGGTGCGCCGAGTCGGCTTTGSGGCTTAGCCAAGGGCAAAGCTCGGAGCGGCAGGACCCGATCCAGGGCACCTCCGTGCCCGGCGCGTCCTGCCTCTGCGGCCAGCCTGGCAGGGTGCCGAGCTGCTTCCCGCAGCCCCGTTCCCGCCCGGCGCTCGCTGCAGCGCATGGTGCAYGTGCATGCGTGTGTGTGTGTGCRTGTGCACGTGTGTGTGTGCGTGTGCAGCACCTGGAGAAGGGCTTTGGAAGAGGCTTTTCTTACGGCCGCTTCCCTTGCGGCTTTGCAGGGAGTTTTCCCGTCACCRTTTCCTGTGGTAACGGGAGGGTCTGTGCTTCTGCCATCTGAATCCTTCCCCCCAAAGTGCGAGGGATTTGGTCCTTCAAAGCCTGGGAGGTAAAGAGGTTCCACCCTGCCCGTGTCCCCCTTGCATGGGCGGGCGCAGATGCCGGCTGCAGCGCTGGTGGGGCCCATCCACGAGCACGGTGTGTGCCGCCGTGCCCGAGCACATGGGTCCTGCCCAGGTAAGCACAGCCTGACTCGGTCAGGTAGGTCTGGCTGCAGCAGCTGCAGGAGCTGGACTTTGAGCACCTGTAACGAGGGCAGGGCTGGATCTGCTGCTCCGTCTGCTCCGAGTCCCGGGGCAAGTGGCGGTTGCGGCGTGGAGCAGCCCTGCCCTGCGTTGCGGTGCAGCCCTGCCCTGCAGTGTGGTGCAGTGGTGCAGCCCTGCGCTGCGGTGTGTTGCAGTGGTGCAGCCCTGCCCTGCAGCGGTGCAGCCCTGCGGCACGGTGCAGCCCTGCACTGCGGTGTGTTGCAGTGGTGCAGCCCTGCGGCGCGGTGCAGCCCTGCGCTGCGGTGTGTTGCAGCGGTGCAGCCCTGCGGCACGGTGCAGCCCTGCGCTGCGGTGTGTTGCAGCGGTGCAGCCCTGCCCTGCAGTGGTGCAGCCCTGCGGCATGGTGCAGCCCTGTGCTGCGGTGTGTTGCAGTGGTGCAGCCCTGCGGCATGGTGCAGCCCTGCCCTGCAGTGTGGTGCAGTGGTGCAGCCCTGCGGCACGGTGCAGCCCTGCGCTGCGGTGTGTTGCAGCGGTGCAGCCCTGCGGCACGGTGCAGCCCTGCCCTGCAGTGTGTTGCAGCGGTGCAGCCCTGCGGCACGGTGCAGCCCTGCGCTGCGGTGCAGCCCCGTGCGCCGCCGCGAGCACCTCCTGCCCGCACCGCTCGCACGGGAAGCGAAAGCGCCTGCCCGGGGCGAAGCAGCGGAGGGCRCCTGCATTTTCCAGCGCCTCCATTCACGGCTCCCGGGTGATTCCGCTTCCCTCCCTGCTCGGGGTGGAGTTTGGGGTGCGAGCGGCRCCCGAGGAGGAAGCGAGCGGCTCCTTGGTTTATGAGCTAGGAGCTGCGCAGCAAGGAGCCTGTGCTGCAAGGAGCCCTGCAAGGAGCTCTCTAGCTCTCCACGAGGCGCCGTGCCGCAGCGTTCCCAGCCCCACAAGGAGCCTGGCACCTTCCTCTCGCAGCCCCATCTTTGGTTGGGTTCCCCTCGGTTCCGCTCCTGCGTTTTTGCCCTTGCTCCTCAGTGTCGTTAGCGAGGGCGGATTCTGCCTCGTGCCYGTCCAGCAGCCGGCACCGGAGAGTCTCCGTTACGGGGCCGCTGTTGTACGATGCAGGGGTGCGAAAGCGGTGATTTGTATGGGCTGCCAACGATGAAACACCTTCAGCTTTCACTCGTTTGTAGCATAACCAGGCGCAGAAATCTCGTGAATCTTTGCATGTGATTTATTTCCTGCAGTGCCCAAATTGCCAGCTTTTCTGCGGGGTTTGTGTTTCGGTAATGTAGTGGTTGGGTGTTATCACAAAACGATAGGTGCTTCTGAGAAGAGAAAGCCCCGATACAGTCAGAGCATGTTGACGGGGGCAAGACTCCTGGTTCTCTTTGATTTATTGCTACAGATTTACTTCAGCCTTTTATGGGTTAGCAGAGATCCGAGATAAATTTGTGTATTGGGTTAGTGCCTCACAGCCCAGGCAAAGACCAGGAGCTTGCTGTGCCCGGTGCACTACAGCTGCTGTGTTAACTCATGGAATCATTGAACCCGTAAGGTTGGGGGACCTCTAGAGATCATCTAGTCCATCTCTCCAGGTCACCCGCAGCACGGGGCACCCGGGTGCATCCCGGCGGGCTGGGGAGATTTCCAGAGTAGGAGCCTCCTCAGCCTCCCTGGGCCAGGGCTCGGGCACCCTTACCAGTGTCATTTTCCCTTAATTTTTAATTTTAATTTTCCTTGTTTTTCCTTTAATTTTTCATTAGGTTCCTGCAGAACTTTTAGTGCTTCCATTTGTGGCCAAAGGAAAAAGACTTTGCAGTGCAGGTGCCATCTATTTATTTCTGTATTCTCACAACGCTGGGACTAAACCAAAGGGCAGGACCGAGGAAGCAGCTCCCCGAGTGGGCGACGGCAGCACAAGCCGAGGCTGGAGCGGGCCGGAGCGGCCGCCCGGCTCGCGGGACCCGTCCCGCTGCGCCCCTGTCCCGGCGGAGCGGCGGCTCCGAGCGGGGCGCCCCGCTCCTGCAGGTGCCTCTGCAGAGCYGGGGAGGCAGCAGCGGGACAGGGACCCGGGGCAGCGCGGGCGGCACCAAGGGCAGGGAGCAGGCGAGGTGCCCCCCGCCGCTCCAAACCCCGCTTTGGCCCTGCCGTGTTCCCCAGGGTCACTGACGTTTCCCAGGCAGAAAGAGGGGGGAAGCGGGTAAAAGAGGGGCCCAGAAACACGCGTTTTCTACAGGAGCAGCTGTGGGGAGAGCAGCTGCCTTACGGCTTCATGACGCTCTCAATCCATGAGATGTAGGAAGAGATGGACGTGTAGTAGCTGTACCACTCGTTGTACTTGTAGGAGAAGATACCGTAGGCTTTGTTCTTGCAGACCAGGGGGCCCCCAATATCTCCCTGCGAGAGACGGAGAGCGAGAGCTGGGGTCGGTTGTGGGGCACCCCCGGGACAGGGGCTGTGCCCGGGGGCACGTGTGTATCCTATAGGTGCCAGGACAGGGTTTGTGTGAGGGCGCTCGGGCTCCCCTGGCACGGGGTGGCTCTGGGTCCGGAAGGGGTGCGTGGGGGTGCTGCCTGGGCCAGCTGCGGTTTGGGGCAAACCCCTCCGTTTTGGGCAAATCCCAACCTGTCCCCACACCGCCGCAGTCCAGGGGAGCCCCCAGCCCCCCCGGCTCCTCCCAGGGTATGAACAGGGTGCCCCCTGCCAGGGGCTCATCTTTGGGGATGGGGGCCCCCCTTCACCCCTAAGGCCGAGCAGCAAGACGGGGATCCCGAGGGAGCCTGGGCTGCTGGAAGGGCTTCCGCGGCAGCGGGAAATCACGTGGTGAATTTTGGGCGAAGGATTTTAGTGCAAATGGGGCTCGAGGCCGGGCCCTGCCCTTTCCTCCCTGCGACACGGACCTTTCGGAGGGCTCCGGGGGATCCGCTGAGGGTGCAGATGGAGTTGGTGGGGAAGCCGGGGTAGATGTTGAGGCACTCCCTCGCTTTGAGGACGGTGACCTTGGCTTCGTGCAGCGCCGCCGCGGGCGCCGCGAGGCCCCAGCCAGCTACGGTGCATTCGGGCTGCCCGATGTAGTGCTGTTTCTGCAAGGAGATGTTCCTCACGTAGTTAGTGCTGGTGGCGTTGCCTTCCAGCTGGGCAGGGGGCAGAAAAGAGAGAAACGAAGTGTTAGGTCTTCAACTCTCCTGCAAYGAGAGCTGCGTGCCCGCGGCGTGGGCAGGCGGCACCSGGCGGCCGGTCACCTTCAGCAGGAGGATGTCGTTCTCGTTGTGAGCCGTCCTGAAGTGCGGGTGCGGGTAGTACTTCTGCACTTCGAATCGCTGCCAGCTCTGCTCCTCCCTGCGCATATCCTGCGCGCCGAGGGTGACCGTGAGAGGTTTGTGGCTGGTGAGAAGCAAACACAGCAGCTCTCAGCTCTGTGTGTGTTTGTTTTCCTGCTGCCTGCGCTGGGGCTGTATCGCCCTGCATGGCCCGGGGGATGCATCTCCCTGCATCGCGCTGCACATCTCCCTAAGGATGCATCTCCC